ATAATTACTCCTTTATTATAAATAATAGAAAAAAATGGTTCAGGACTTTTCGACTCAGTTTTACTTCTTCTACCTGCCTACGAGAGATTGTACGGCAATTCTGGGACACCCTGTATATACAGAGTGGAACACTAACTCTGTCCACCTAGAATATCTTCGCTATTTTTAGAAATATGAAAATATTGCAATTACAAAAGTTGTATGGTATCAAGAGAGCTATAAGATGCTACTAATAATTTTTTCATGTGTGGAGACGATTCGAAGATTTCAAGGTCACTTCTATTTTTTTAAATGGCATGCTATACTTTTTTATCCCTAGTGCAATAGCAAATATTCAAACAATTTCAACGACCTATAACACAAGATCATTCGGTCATTAAATAAAAGAGTAAAATGATTTTTACGTCATGAGAGGTGCTCAAAATGATGTCCGTTTACATCGATGCAACGCTGCAAACATTGAATTCCTGAAGCACGTGCACTTCTTAATATTGCATAATATGCATAATATGCATAATACGCAATTGTTTGAATATTTGCTATTGCACTAGGGATAAAAAAGTATAGCATGCCATTTAAAAAAATAGAGGTGACCTTGAAATCTCCGAAGCGCCTCCACCCACGAAAAAATTATTAGTAGCATCTTATAGCTCTCTTGATACCATACAACTTTTGTAATTGCAATATTTTCATATCTCTAAAAATAGCGGAGATATTCTAGGTGGACAGAGTTAGTGCCCCACCCTGTATATACACGTACAGTTTCCGCTAAACGTCTTGAAGACGGCTCGTAAGGCCTTATATATTGGGAAAATTTTTTATTCAAACATTAGGTGTACAGCTCGTTATTATTGCCTCCTTCCTATTTTCTTATTGATAGAATAATTATGTTTATAAAATATAAATATATAATTCAATAAAAAATAATAAGAAGGGTGACCTCGGATTCATGTACGGTTGATCCACCAATGTTTGAAATATACGGCAAATACGAAAATATAGATATTCATATATATTTGTTCCGCACAAGATTTTGCGCATTGGCTCACCAATTAAATTTCTCGGTTGGTTAAACCATAAATGAACCTTAACTCTTATTTAATATGTTACTAATTGTATTACGACCACCATCTGTAGACTACTTAAAATGATAGTCTAACCTATTAGATTTATCTTAAATATTTTGAATTCTATTCATCTTAAATATTTTGAATTATCAAGCACATCTGACTGTGTGTGCCTTTAAAACGTCATCCATACGGCAATTACACTTCTTTTCAACACGGTTTACAGGGATGACTAATAACCGCTATTTTCATTACGTTACACTTTTAAACTTCGACTTGATACCTGTACTAAATTATTTATTTTCTATAAGAATACACATATTAAAGCTTTGATTGCTTTTTATTATTTTAAAGCTATTTTTTCCGACGCGCAGGTGTTTGTTTTATAAAAAAATTTTTTTATTATTAATTTTACTTATCAATCGTCCACTGTAAAATACTAATTATTACAAGTGATTGAGTATTAGGGGGTGATCGGATAAGGAGTCGACTACTTTATACACATTACAGCTGAAAAATATGAGGAAGAGTATTCTTTGTCGAGAGAATTCTCGCAGCTAAAATTGCGCAACGCGTCCCACGCTGTCGTCAGTACTGTGCGGCATCTCGCGTTCGTGCAATCTATACAAAGATGAAAAGAGACGATCGGAAGAGAAGAAAGACGAGCGCGTGTACACGCGCGTATCGGGTACTTTTATAATTTCACCGGATGAATCGGCAGTAAAACGCCATCGCGTTGCTCACGCGCGCCGAAGTGCTCGCGCACGAAGTGACTTCATGATAAATCAAGCCGTGCGTGAATCAAGAGACGAGTTAACAGCATTGCGAAACAAAGGCGCGGTCTTTCGTGATTCGGCGTTTTCCTTTATTTCAAAGAGAATGAGAGAATGAGAGAAAGAGAGAGATGTATGACCGGGCGCGTTTCGCAGCAAATAACGCTAATGGAGATAGCGCGCGATCCGATTTTCTATTATTACGGAAGTCGTCCGTACAGAGATACGTGACTCTCTCCTTCTTCTTTCTTTATACCGCTACGATAATGGACCTTGTACGTGATTTCAACATGGCTTTATGCAACAAATTCGCGAGGAAATAATTTAACACATATAGTTAAAGAAAGGGTGGGATGTGTGACGACGTAAATGGAATAGAACAGGACTTATGATATGCATCATATGCCGCTTCCTCGTATATTTCATCTTCAAATACGATTAACCTTTCGAGCAACATTAGGCATCTCCATATGCGTTCTACACCAATACACACACAATACGAGTTTCATTACACACACGCTGTGTAATATAAATCCTCTTGAGTGAGCGGACTCAAAACATCCGCAAAAATTTCGCTTTACGGTAGTTACTTCTTCAACGGTTTTCATCATCTTGTACAATCGAAGGCGTTAAGTGTTCCGTATGTTCAACACTTTACCGCCGTTGTTTTCTTCGTTAACGTCATTTCCTACGTGCGCGAGAGAACGGTACGTTTCCCGCATCGATTCTCTTTCTGCGAACTCGACCCTCGAAGGTTATAGCGCGAGCGCGCAAACAAAAACGTTCGTCACCCAACCGCGCTTCGAAAAGCAGCGCGAGTCTTTGACGTGTTGAAACCCCCCATTATAAAGCACCATAAGAAAGAAGCTGCGCGCCCGGTAGTAGTATAGCGGACGTTGTTTTATTTGCCAATGCATTTGCGTTGACAACAAAATTGGGCGCGGATACTTCTTTGGCGCATCGAACGAACAAATTAGTAATAAGTTTGCATCTCTCAGTCAACGCTCAAAACTATATGACCGAGAGAATTATCTTAACTTTAAAATAGAAAAAAAAAAAACTGACAAGCATAAAGAAATTTGTGTAATCAATTTGATTACTTGCAATACGTTCAATATGTATTTATAGTTTTTTCGCCTTGAAATTATAAAGGCAACAAATTTATTCCATAGTAAAATACTCGTCGATACGAGCATTTGATTGCTCTAAAAATTCAACTGTTAAAAATAAATTATTGAGAGTAACTCCAGTATATGCGCGCATTTATCAAAAACTAATTTACTAAGTATTGTTTACGATGTTACAAAAACAAGTAAAATATTTAAAAAACCTGTAAAACCTTTATACTGCCTTTTATTATAAAAAAATTTACGAATACAAAATGTTTATTTTTTACACTTAAAAAAATTGTAAAAAAACTTTTGCATTTTTTTTGGCATATATAGGAATAGATTGTACGATCATTTATAATGAGCCAAACCTTTTTTTTACAGTAATTATTTTACTATATTCGTAATGATTGCGCTATTTATTATGTATGTGTGCTAAACGAATCAATTTGAAAATGATAATGGTTTCGTTAATAAATGAACAATAAAAACGTGAAATTATAACATAATATAACATAAATTATCTTTACTCTTATTTTTTCTGACCTATACCTACGACGTAAAACCTGACACACGCGCAAATATCGGAATTACCCTCCGCAAAACAATCCTACCTTCGTCGACGATGGCGGCCTTGATCATGTGTCTCATGGAGCGAATACCGACGACGATCGCGATTTCGTTTCTTCAGACTTCTACCCTCGCTGCCGTAGATCGGTCCACCTCGCGTCAAAGTCCCAAGGTCGCTCGACATTGACTTCTCGTGGTGGTTCATGCTGTTTGATCGCGGCCGATCGAAACCTTGAGGCTTCGTAGAACTGCCGTAGTTAATCTTTCGAGCGCCATTTTGTGTGTAGCGACCGTGTTCTCTCGGCAAACTGCAGTAAAGATTTTGCGACGTGTAAATCGTTTTACCGAGGGATTTATTGTTGCCGACGTTATCGGCGGTATTCGCGTTTCCCTTAGAGGGGAACGTCGAGTTGACGTCGTGACTTCCTTTGAAACCGCCACCCAGATGTTCCCGCAACCACTTTCCTATGCCACCTCCACTTCCAGTCTGACTATCTTGAGGACCGTAGGAGTCGCCAGTCTTGTTTCTGCAACAGGAAGGATAAAACTACATTGATTACGATTAAACTGTGCTGATCACTTTCTTCAGCAAACCTGTCCTGCATAAGAGAAAGAGAGAGAGAGAGAGAAAGAAAAAACTGCATGTTTGTCGCATGGCAACAATGAAAGAAATGTAACACATGTTGCTACAGAAAAGGGGGCAATAAAACTTAATATTTCCATGAAGAGAAAAAATTAAAAAAAAAAAAAAACAACGATCTTGTTCGCAATCTTGGTGAAGAGTGTACAATAAACGCGCTAGAACGGCCTCGGTTGAGCGGTTTCGATTTCAGGTATCCAGACAGATTGATAAAGAAAAGCCACGCATATGTAACAAAACAAAAAGGCGTAGTAGAAAAGAAAAGGTAAGGATCTGAGAAAAGAGAGAAAGATGACGAACGGCAAATGAATGGCACACGCCCTCTAGAGAATCAGGGCGAATACTTTATAATAAGGGCAATGTGGAACGAAACACGAAGACGAAGACTTGGACGGGAGAAGGGCCGGTAGTTAAGTCACGATGACCTTGGCAAGGTCATCGATGCTTCTGGCCATCGTCACTAGGAGCCGCCACCGCGTGGCCATCTCCTCCGCATAGCTGAATCTCGGGGAGAATTCTTCTTTATCGATGTCCCGCGCTTTTCTCAGTATAACTGGCGCTTTTTTAATGTCAATTAATTCCTACCGCGCAAGTTTATCTCCATTACAAGTTCACGATAGTCCGCTTATATCGACGTTAAACCAACGAACTTTATTGCGTGCTGTTTTTTTCTGTGTATATAACAGTCGCGGAGAAGAGAGAGAGAAAGAGAGAATCGAATTAACGAACGATATTACAATTTAAATCAATGCCAAACGCGGTTTATATGTAATCGGGAGAAGGGGGAATGCCTAAAGACTCAATACGTATACGAGCGAGTGTGCTTTGCGATTCGCCGAGATGCGCTTAATTAATTGCAGCGAAATTAATTATAACCGCGTAACGCGGGTTACTTAATTGACCAGCAAAGAGCGAGTCTTAGGCTGGGTTGATAAGAGAACAGTTCCACCTCGTCGAAAGTTTAATCGGGCAACGAGATCTTGAGAATTAAAGGGAGGAGGAGAAAAGAGGGAGGTCGGTAGGGGAAGCCGAGTAGCAGTTCCGATGCAATTTCGTGATTCTCGGCGTATTATCCGCCGTGTTACGCCACTGTATGAAATTCCGGTTTTACCGCCCCCTCCGGCCGTTCGGATACTCGCTTACCCCCCTCTCATGCTGTTATCTCTTCGGCTTTTTTCGGTGCTCGTTTTTGACTACCGTCTCGTGAGCCGCGCCCGGAACCCAAAAGCAAACGCATTATCACGAAGCAATCGTGGAACTTCTTCCCGACCAATCAACGACCTCTTTAGGGATCGCACTTTTGGTGGTAACCGGTTACACTCCCGAATCAGATAAAAATATCGCGCAGTTTCTCGCTTCGGTGAGAACAGTATACGCAAGTATCGCTTGCATTAAATTTTTTATTATACTATTCTATATATTTACGTATTATATATATATATATATATACACATACACGCACATATACATACGTATATATATATATATATATATATACATACAATATATATGTATATATATAACCAACAAAAGTAATATTATAGAAATACGTCAAGTACTACTTGAATTTTGCGTAAAACATTTTGTGAACATTCAACCCACATAAATCTCTTCCCATACTTAAATGACCTAAACTGGAACCGATTCTTTTTTCTCTTGCTTTAAGTCTCGCTCGCCCAGCTCTTCGGGTTTTGTGCGCCTCGTTTTGCGAGTGTACCTCGTTCTCTTCTTATTTTCCTCGCCTGCCGTGCTCTGCCTCATCATTGTTTCATTTCTTTTTCTCTCTTCTACGCTTTTCTCTCTCTCTCTCTCTCTCTCCGCTCTGGAGTTTCTTTCTCGCTCGTTCTTGGTCGTTACAAACGTCTGCTTTTCTTCATTATGCTTCAATTCTAACTATTGCTTCCTCGTGAAAGGATTCGCGTTCTATTCTTCAAGACTTATACACATGTATGCCTTCTCCGGGATAGTAAATGAATAATTTATCGTGCGGTAATTAGTAACCTCACGCACAGCACATGGAGATTGCATGTGTATTATTGTACTATTAGTGTTTTCTTGCGACTCCACAAATGTACAACTGAAATTTGTAACGTGAGAAAATCGTTTCTATTATAATTCGATTCGATTTGAGATGTATCGATAAAAGTAAATTAAATTAAATAAAAAGTTTTTTTATTGTCTTATTCACGACGGCAAAGAAATTATTAAAGATGAATTAAAAGTATACAGAAAACGTTATATAGAAATTTAAAAAAACTGCGTATTTTTACCAATTATTATAAACCTTTATCAAATATAAAAGAAAAAGAGCTATTGCTTCTGAACATAGAAAGTATATATATATGTACATATTGACCATTACAACGTGATGTTGTCGCGTCACTCGCAGATAAGAATAAACGTTACAATACATGAGATTTTTACATTTAGATTGAGCGTAATGTTTACGCTGATTTTCGAGGTATTAGCAGTCTTACAAGCGTCCGCGTGCCTGTTTTTATAGCGCATCCAACTGAATCATTCTTATACTCGTAAACGTCGTCCGTATCGAGCGCAACGAGTCTCCCAACGGAAGTCGGTTCCTCTTTCTTTTAGCGCGGACACCAAAACGCGTCTCGACCGACTGGTTTCGGCGAAGTGACAGCGAAAATCTTCGTTCAATATTGATCGTCGTTCTCTGTGTTTCGAAGTCAAAGATCTTTTGAGAGACAAACGGAGTTCCGAAGCAAACGTCGCGCTTCTTGCCGATGATCTTTGACGCGAGCGGGAGGGAATGAGAAAAGGCAAACGCGCGCCGCGTCGCGGCGAGGGTGATCAAATACGGGCGGTACAAAATACCCTCCGAGAGGGTATACGCCGACATAATACGCGTATTATATGCCGGCGTATACCTGTTGAGCTTAAAATTCACCTGCGGCCCGGAGGATCGGCGTCGGCACCTTTGAACTTTTCTGAGCTGGAAGGTATATCGCGGAAGGGTATACATACCTGCGGAATATACAACGCAGGACAACGATCCCGTGCCGGATCGAGGAACGTGTCTTTTTTTTTTTTTTTTTTTTACGTGCGAGAGAGATATGTGCTTTCAATCGCTTTTGTACTCTTAGCGATCGTAATCGACGCGTGTATCTTCATGACTCGGCTTTCGCGCGCGACGCGACGCGCCGCCGTAGCGTATGATCGTAACATGCCGCACAGATTCGTATGTTTATATCGCGCTGCGTTTAGAGATATGACCAAAGATGAGAGAAGGAAGAGACAAGGAAACGAGAAAGAAAAAGAGACAGAGTAGAAAGATCACTTATCTGAAGATGGGGGAGGGGAGGGGGTTAAAGTCGTATCGGCGTAACTAATGCCACGTCTGTTGTGACAGCCACCGTACGGTGAAACGACAATTTTTGAAGAGAGCGCGTCGGAATGCCGGATGGTATATAATAAACTACTCTTCGATTCGTAATTACGACAAAACGGGTCACGAAGTGAACGATTCCGATGTTCTTCTCTGATTATTTCCGGAGGGTCTTGTCACGGGACCCGTCTCTCGCGCGATAATCGTCAGACAGTTTATATCGTCGTGTGTACGAGAGCGTTTATTCAATGTCCGCGCCGAACGGTACACCATAAACGCCACGATTTCGTTCGTATCGCTTCGATTATACTCGCGCGGCCGATTTTGCCCGACCGCAACTGAACGTGAATCGACGTTATTAACCCATTACCGCCTCGCTATTAACTCGCGATTGCGCTACGTGATTTACCAAACCGGGAAAATCGTAATGAAATTACGCGCGTTAATAGGTTTAAATCTTCACCTGGCGAGTTATCTTACGCGCGACAAACTGTTACGCGCGCCACCTGACGATTACCTGAAACCTGATTCTTCGAAAACGTGTTTCTCCCTCGCTCGTTCCTCCGCCGCCGGTACTTTTTTGCATTCGACGTACTCCTCGATTAATATACGACAGATGAAATACGTCGCGCGACACGCAAGACGCATTTCTAAATGCGCGATAAGCAAGGTCTTTAAATCTCTTCGCGAAATTATTAGATTGATTATAAAATTGATTGCGCAATGGTCGGCTCGAGCCGAAAATAATCGAAGTCGATTTAATAAAATGCGAAAATTGAAATAAAAATTAAAAAACACAATTCTTTTAATCGCAAGATGTAATAATGGGCGCAAAATAAATTTGAAATCGAAAGAAGAAGACGAAGAATAGAAGAGAAAATTCCAAGAGAAAGATCCTTGAGGATCATAACGTTTAATCATTCTGCCGTTCAAGTAGAGCTACATCTCAACTAGCAACGTATGTTTCTTCGTGGTGGATTCGCGTCTCTGAGGAACGACGCAGAAATTGCGATGATTGCGCTCGGTTCGCTCGCCATGCCCATGTTTTCTTGCGCTCGCCAAGTCAAAGGTCACCGGGCTGACTTCATAGTGGCCGTTGTTCTCCGTTGGTCTGTGTGCCTGCCTCTGCCTAGACCGAAGGAACGTACTGACGCGCGCGGCCGCAAAAAAAAAAAAAAAAAAAAAAAACACGCACGATCCGGACGGTAAGACGGCTCTGTGCGACTCGACAGACAAGATCGTCCTCGTCATCGGTTGGAGTTGCTCGCGCGAAGATTCTTCTGGCCAAAGGTCACGAGGCAAGGTTTTGTTTAACGGTATCGTCTGTCCGTCCGCGATGCTAATATCTCTCGCTACACGATCATTATACTCCGGCGGTCGAGACACTGATTGGCTCGTTACGTCACACGATCTCACGCTAATGATCCCAACAAGGCACCGGATATCTTCGATCGGTTGGATCGTTTCGGTGGAATGCGAACGTAACTGCTGCGCCTACCGATCCGCGCTCTCAACGACCGTGGATCATGCCACGAAAA